TAAACTCACACTAATATTCACGATTCCAGATAATGAAGAAACTGCATTAGTTATTGATTTAACGCAAGACTGACATGTCATACCATGAATTGGAATTATTTCAACTTCAACTTGAACTGACAATGGAGAAGCTATGGTTGAAGTAAAGTCTTGTAAATCCCGTTTCTCTTCATCGGTGATATTAGGGTCATAATCACCACCGAGGTCTTGTATTATACTAACAGCTCGGGAGTGAACGTCTGCTTCAACCATATTTTAAGAAAACTATGTAAAAAAGATGATACTCGTTAAGAAATATTATATGTTTCAGAAACTTTTAAAGAAAAAAACAAAATAATAATGGAAATGATTATTATTATTATTTACAAAAACAGAAATAAAGGTTTTTTTTATAAAGGAAAGGAAAAAAAAAAAAAAAAAAAAAAAAAATGTAATAAAAATAATGATAATTCTAAAATAAGAGTCTGTATAAGTAATGCTTGTTAAAAAATAGATCTTGATTTTGAGAAAAATTTTTTGTAATACATACACCTCTTGGTAAGTTTTATAAATAAAATAAAAAAAACGGGAAATTCTATCAAATGAAATTTTGACAATGAAATGTCTGATTTTAGCAAGAATTGTAATTTATATTATATTCGTTTAAGTAAAATAAAGGAACTCCAAATTTGAGAGAATGAAATTATCTAATATTTTTTTCATGTCCAGCAAGAAAAAGGGAAATTCAACATATTTAACTGTATGCATAAAAATCTAAAATTTAATTTATTTGATTTGAATTACCGTGTATCACACAACTATTTCCGAATTGTTTCAGATTAAAACGTCCCCCAAAATTTAGGGGTTTAAAAAAATCAATTTTAAAGATGGTTGCGGCTATGCACTGCAAAGCCCGAACGATGTTCCGAATTATCTTCCGTGATATTTGTATCTCTTTAAAATTTTTTAATTCAACTTGTTTGGCTTCAGCCTTTTTGATCAGCGTTGGCTTATCACTATCACTATAGGGAGGGCTATTTTTCAATTTTTTATTTTTTCCCCAAAAACTCTTTTGTTTTATTTATTAATGAATGCTGGTTGAAAAATTACATCGAAAAAAGAATTACAACCTTCTCTTTCTATTACGATAACCCATCATATTTGTCATTCGTCATTAATCATTATATAGTAAGTTTTTGAACACCGACATAATTCATTAATGTTCGTCGTAGCCAATATTTAAAAAATTATTTAACGCGAAAAATTCAACACCTTGAATCGATTCTTAAAAAATAGAAAAATAACGTCCAGTAACCCAAATAAAGGACTGTAGCACAGTTTATTTGGTGGTATGATCTTTGCCGAAACAAATATCCGATTAAAAAAAGTAAAATTCATTGATAAATCAAATCATATTAACTAAAAAATACAATCTCATAGAAAATCATTGTTCTAATAATATCTTTAATAATGTAATGCTTCATCGAATGTTTCTCTCACGTAAAAAAAGCTCGTTTTTATTTTTATATAATTTTTTTTTTTTTTCGTTGCGTGTCACTTTTCACATTCAATTAAGGCTGTGCCAAAAATCAAGAGATTTTACTTCATGTGATACATATATCGCGAATAGATGATTCTCGAAAAAAATTACGAGATTTCCAATTTGTCCAAGACTTTAAGTGCAATGTCCTTATAACCTTTTGCATATATGCTGTCAGGCTTGGCAACAACAATTGGTTTTCCAAGATCAGATAAATCACAGATATCAGCATCCAACGGTATATCTCCTAAAAAATCGATATTCAAATCTTTTGCTACCTTATTAGTTCCGTCTTTACCAAATATATAATTTTGATGTTGACAATTTGGACAAATAAATGTTGACATATTTTGTATTATTCCAAGAATCTTTTTAAATAAAAAGAATTGAATTTAATATAAAATATTCTTCAAAGTTGAGACAACTCTTATTTAACTCACCGGTACACTGACTTTTGAGAACATATTTGCTCCCTTCTTGGCATCTATAAGGGCTATATCTTGTGGGGTAGAGACGATAACAACACCAGACAGTTCAATTTGTTGACTGATAGTTAATTGTGTATCACCTGTACCAGGAGGCATATCAATCACAAGTAGGTCAAGTTCATCCCAATGAACTTGGTGAAGCAATTGTTGAAGTGCTTTCATAACCATAAGACCTCTCCATACTATAGGTGACTCTTCTCCAACCATAAATCCCATTGACATTGCTTTAACTCCATAATTTACAAGCGGAATCAAATTTCCATCTATAGATATAGTAAAGATGGTAAATTTTTTTTTTTTTTGAAGGAAAAAAAAAACTTGGACGACGTACTTGATTCAACTATATTTGGTTCCCCCTTTAAATTCATTAGACGAGGTATGGAAGGACCAAAAATATCTGCATCCAAAATACCGACATTTTTCTTAAATGAAGAAACTGCAAGTGCCAGATTAACTACCGAAAAAAAAAAAAAGAAAATCATTTAATGAAATTATTATAAAAAACAATAAAATAAAATTTATTACCAGCAGTGGTGGACTTTCCAACTCCTCCTTTACCAGAAGCGACAGCAATGACTCGTTTAACGCCACGTATCAATCGTTTAGTAGGCAACCCACGACGCATTCGTTCTTCCATATCAACGCTTTTTCTTGTAGCATTACCAACATTTTTCAACTGATTGACTTGAAAAGGTAGGCCCTGTTAAACAAACGTTTATCGTGTATGATTATGTACTAAAAAGAAAAGGAAAAAAATGTATTATATTATACCAAAGGATTTTCATGAAGAACTACAACAGTTTTACTAAACTGTCGTCGTGGTGTAAAATTTAAGCTGGAAGTGCGAAGTTGATAAAATGTACGTTTAATGATCGTGTTCATTATCGAATAATTTTTTTTGGCATATAAGAGAGATTGAAGGAGTTTTTTGTTGTGCTACTTTCTAAATTTGTAGTGTTTTTCGCTAAAATTGTAAGTTTGGTGGTACGATGGTCGCGTGTTAATAATTATATTTTTTTACGCTCAAAATATAAATGATGTGTTTAAATTGAATTGATGAAATGTAGAGGCTCGACATCCTAAACGTCGACTTAAAAAAAATTCGAGAGAAATATCTATATATTATTCACAATTAAAAATATTGTGACAAAATATATTTTTTGGTAAATATAAAACGATCGATTAATCGAAAATCGATTCCAATCCCCTTTCAAAAGTCTTTTAATCACACAAAATTCACTTGAGCACCATTCAAAATGAGATAAAATAACAACGTACTTAGAATTACAAGAAAACAACTCTCGAAATTAAGTTCTTGATTTTTCTAAAAATTTGTTGCAGAATGCCTACAGATCAAACTATCCGCAACGACCTTACAAACATAGGTGATTTTTAAAATATATAAACATCTCAATGTAAATGATCGTCAATTTCAGGTTTTGTGACTGATTATTTCTTTATAAATATGGGAAGATCCAGGAAAAATCAGGCTCTGGGAAGAACCTGATTTTCCTAGAAAACCTCCCATATCAATTCCTATTGATCAGATTTTCAAATACTAAATCTAAAATCTAAAAATGCCTTCCTTTCGCTCTAAGAAAAATCAAGAAATTCAAGGACGACTTGTAAATTTACAAGTTCAAAATCAAGATGAAGAAAGAAGAAGGCTGCCGTTCGCAGAAAGGATGGCACTTCTCGTATTAGATCAAGATACGGAAAGAGAACAATTTCAGCAAAGTATAGACATAATAGAAGCAGAAAAATTCTCGTCAAAAGGGAAGCATCGTTGCAGCAGTGGTTATTATACAAGGATTTGTGGGAGGGACGAATATTGGTACCAGTTGGTGGTCTGGGTGGTGGTTGGGATTTTTGTTTTTGTTGGGCTTTCTTTTCAGTATTCTACTTCGTTGGTGTTTCTTTGCCAACTATTAGATGGGAGGTTTTCTAGGAAAATCAGGTTCCGAAAAATTTTTGACTAAAATTTAAGAGCTTAATGCATTTTAATTTGTTATCATCAAAAACTAAAATGCATTAAAATCTCAATTTTAAAAAAATTCCCGGAGCTTGATTTTCCGTAAGAACAAATTCTGCATGCATGCTGTGCATTTAAAAGTTCCGATTTCTTATGTTAAACCCGGTGAAAGTTGGGAATGCGGACAAATTATCGAATACAAACCTTAAGAAGTCAAATGGCTGTAACTTTAATAAATAATTATTTCCTTTTTTGGTAAATCTTATTAATATTTGTAACTTCAACCAATCTGATTTTTTTTTGCAAAAAGTTTCTTATTTATCGATAAATCTAAACACGATGATCCAGTAGAATTAATTTTATGTGGCGTTTTCACCCATTGATATATATATAGAATCATTTTACATGCTATGAATATTCGAACGTTCCATTATAGAAGAAGAAAGGTTCAAACATAATATTTCAAAAAAGAAAAACTAGTAGAAAAAAATCAAGAACCAATGATTAAATGATTAGATTCCCAAATTTAATTGGGCGTTAAGGCGTGAATTCCATTTTTAGAATTTAAAAGAATATCTAGGCAGTAAGGAATAAGATTTATTATCATGTGAACACAATCTGAATAACATTGTCACCAAATAAATTAAAATCGGTTTATTATGAAGAGAAATTTGTTCCGACTCGTATAACAAAAGTTCGTAATTTATTTTGAAAATTTAATGTTTCATAAATTATTTAGTGATTGCCAAAAAAAAAAAAACCAGACAATCGCTCCTATTTCAACTATTACACCAATTAAAAAAAGTACAATATAGCAAATTATATTAAAAAAATTAGTATGATATTCGTTCAATTTTACCGATTTGAATTGGCTATTAAAGGATTTCATTAAAGAGCCTTTTGGTAAAAATATTGGCATTGAATCTACAAGACTAATTAGATGGCTCTATCCATGCAAAGATTTTATAACGAAATATTGAAAGGATCATTCTTATGTTTTTGTACGCTTTTGCTTATGGTTAATGTGTAGAAAGAGGAAGAGCCAAGTTCAATCAATTAATTGTCTTAATGCTGTTTGTTCAGGAAACATTCACCAATTTTTTCAGCAATAGATCTAGCAGAAAATGTAGAAGCGAGAGCTTTGTTAAATTGTATATTTCAGCAGTAATTATGATTGCTAACAATTGTAATAAAATCGAAACTTGAAATTTTATCACTACCCTCGGAAAAGTATCGGGTCAGTTGAAGAAAAAATTTATTTATGAACTTTTGAAGCAAATATTATTTGTACTATTCTGTTTTAATGTACAATGTTCATTATTAAATAAAGTGGTTTTCCGGGAAGACTACAATCGAACTAAAACAGATAGATGAAAAAATACTGAACGTAATTTATTAAATTTATTTTATCTACATTTTTTTAATATATTTGTTGAACGCGTACAAATGTATTATTACATTATACCGTAATTTATTATATTTTTCCGTTTTTGGTCTCGCGAATCGCTTTATTCAATATCTTTTTTAATATCTTGTGCAAGTTCTTTAACTTCTTTTACAGGTCCACTAGGATGCCTATCTAATGGTTTAACGTTCGCTAAATCTTCTTTTGCTTCTCGTTTTTCGGATCCTTGACTAATATTTTCATTGGTATCACCCTATGATAATAAATTTATGGTTCATACATAAGATAATTTAAAAAACGAGTGAAGAATATTTAGTTACTTACCATGTTCACGTTCAATTTATTAACTCCAGACTTGGCTTGATCTTGTAGATTTTTCACGGTTCCCTGTCCAGTTTCTTGAGTTTTCTTTAATACATCTTGACCTTTTCCTTTTAACGAATTTAATAACTCTTGACTTGACCCTTTCAACCCTTTTCCTTTCTCTTGAGCACTTTTCAAGGTTTCTTGACTATTTTCTTTTATATCCTGTCCTTTCTCTCGAGCACTTTTCATGGTTTCTTGACTTTTTTCTTTTATATCCTGTCCTTTCTCTTGAAAACTCTTCATTTTTTCTTGAGCGAATGCGATTCCTGACTCTTTTAACCCTTCACCCTTCTCTTGAGCACTCTGCCATGTCTCTCGTCCTTTTTCTTGATAATCTTTAGTCGTATTTTGTAACATATCTTTGGTTGATTGTAGGACTTGCTTGGTGTCATTTTTAACGGAATCAAAAGCTCTCTTCGCGGTTTCCTTGGCAGTTTCATAACTTTCTTTTGCTTTTTCTTGCAAGTTATCAACTGTTTCTTTTACACTACCGATCGTTTCTTTGGTTTCATTACTCGATTGATTATGTTCTCGTAATCCTTTAGCGGCATTTTCGGATTGTACGTCCGCAGCACCGGGTGACACAAATTGATTAAAGGCATCTTTAAATTTCCCCACTACACTTTGAGATGAATCCTTTTGTAAATTATCACTCAAGGGTGCCTCCTTTGCTTTGTTAACCGTATGACCTTCCGTGTGAGGTTTCTCTCTTGTCGGACCCGTTGTAAATGGATGTTCATCTTTTGGACCTATTGGTGGATTTGGTGAAACGCGATGTTGTGAATGTTCTTGATTCTGTGAAGTCGTAGGATAAAAATTATTTGTGACTGTAGTTCTTAATGATCTCTTTGAAAGGTGTGAATTAACGTAAAGTCTCCTAGGTGATGAAATGGACCGCGCCGAGAATTTATTGATCAACATGCGAGATTGAGCCATCATCGTGTGTGATATATATGTAAATAAATTTGGAGGTTTTGGTTTTTTTTTTATTTTTCTTGATGCTTTTTTTTTTTATTTTGTCTTTCTTTTCATCCCCCTTTCCACTTTATATAAATCGTTCGATTTGCTCTAGATCTTTTTGGTTAGCGTAATGATCATTATATCATAATCCGTAATTAACATTTTCTTGTTTTCTCTTTGGTCATAGTTATGACATTAAATGCGAAATCCATTAATCAATTAATCATATGCTCGTCATCCATTTATTTATCAGCGCCACAGTTATTTTATTTACTGCGTAATTTAAACATTATTTATTATTTTTTTTTGTTAGACAAATTATCAAATTATAGAAAATATATATATACATTCCTTTTTTTTGTTATAATTTTTTTTTTTTTTTTATGATTTTTCTTAAATATAAAATAAAAATAAATACAATACATTATAATAAGATATGAGATAAATGCTAGAAATCTAGCAAATATTATTAAATGGAAAGATTATCTCGATCTAAGCGGAGGTACTTTTTTTTTTTTTTTTTTTTGAAAAGAAAAAGAGCTTAACAAAAATTATTACAATAAATGTTAACACTTTCTTTTCGAGTATTAGTTAATTACATTATGAATTTAATTTTAATTTATTAATTTCTTTCTTAAGGATTCCTTCAATCGTATCCCAATTATCCGTTGGTACTTTGATGATTTCTCTCTGGAAATGTTGTTCAATTGATTTTACAACTTCCCAACTGTTTGCATCATGAACAAAGTTAATGGACACTCCAGTACGACCAAATCTTCCGGTACGTCCAATACGATGAAGATAAGTTTCGAAATCGGGTTTGCCAGTAGCATCCGTTGGTAAATCATAATTAATCACTAGGTTGACCTGTAAGACATCAATACCACGCGACAACACATTAGTGGTAATCAATACTTTGGCGTCCCCCCTGCGGAAACCATCCATCACATGATCACGTTCGTTTGCTGAAAGACCTCCATGAAGGTTAATGACTTTATGGCCATTCTCAGTCATGCGTCTGGCAATAATGTCCGCGGTATCACGTTTCTTTTCATTTGAAATTAATTTAGTGTCTTTTTTTAAAATAATTCTCGCATAAAGATTTGGTTAGAATAATATCGTACCTGCACGAAAATAATACTTTGACCGATTGTAAGTAAAGTGTACAGATCATCCAAAACCTGAAATTTGTGCTGCTCGTTTTTGCAATCCATGTAAAATTGAGAAATGGTTTTCACGGATAGTTCTTCAACCTTTAGACTAAATTGATTTGCATTCGGTGCAAATCTTTCGGCAAAAGATCGAACCTCTCGTGAATAAGTTGCCGAGAAGAGGACAATTTGACAGTCCTTGGGCATCATACTATTGAATAAATTCAAATAATCATGTTAATCATAAAATTCAAAATGAAAACTCGAAAATTTTATAATCAATGTTTTACTTTTTTATTTTGATACTTTGATCTCCTAAACTCTGTTGATCCAGCATATTATCAGCTTCATCCAACACAAAGATTTTTATGGTATTCTTATTGATAATACGCCTCCTGAACAAATCGTAGACGGTACCAGGAGTACCAACAATCAATTGAGCTTCAGCAAATTCTTCATTTCTACTTTTACCAGTTGTATAACTTTTGACATTGGATTCTCTAATTGCCTCTGCAGTCATTACTGGTGTATATTTTGCCATTTTAAGAACTTCCACCATGATTTGACGAGCCAACTCTCTTGATGGTGCTAAACAGAGCGCCTGAAATAATGTGCAATTAATATTATATTTTTTTTTTTGAATTTTGAAAGATTAATAAAATATTATCGTTTTTTTTACCTGTAATGATTTCAAATCGAAATCTATTCGACTCAACATGGTTAATACGAATGCCGCTGTTTTACCCGTACCGGACTGAGATTGCCCGATCATGTTTTGTGGGCTAATATGATAATAAAAAAATTACTTAAGGAATTAAATAAAACTAACGTGAAATAAAGAGGGTTACATACGGAGTTTTAATAAGCAACGGTAAAGCTTTCGCTTGGATTTTCGATGGTTTCGTGAAACCCATTTCGTAGATACCCTTCAAAAGATTTTCATTCCTGAATAGTTCAAAAAATTTAGTCACCGATTTATCATGAATCAATAACTTCTATCATAAAAATTATATATTACAATTTTAAATCTTCAAAAGTTGTTACAGAAAGTATAGGATCATCATCAACTCTGGTAACAACTACGTCATGAGATGATTCTTGTAAAGCATTATGTTTTGCTAAATGGAGATGTAAAAGTTAAAAATCGAGAAAATATTTCTTTAAACTTGAGTGAATTGCGAGCACTTACGTTCTTGAGTTTCTAAGTTAGAAATTTGTTCTGTGAGACTATTAACTTCTGTAGCTGTAGTAACACGAAGTAGATCATAAAAAGTTTATAACGGGCAACACGTTATATAATAATTAAAACCACAATACAAGAGCACATAAGTTAGTTTTGACTTGAACAGTTCAAAAGATAATTCGTGACTAAAAACTAAAAATATCTTTACCTCCGTTCTCCATCGTTGGTTAACTTTTTTTTTTTAAAGAAGAATTTTTTTTCTTTTACAGATCTATTATTTGGTGGATTAAATAATTTTTTTTTTTTTAACAATTCGATCAATCAACGCTATTCCTTTTCAGGAAACAATAGTAACCAAGAAAAATTCACGTGATTTACAATAGAAAATATTTCCGATCTAAAAACAAATCCGCACTTTTTTGAAATTGATTATCAAATGATAAATACTACTAATTCGAATACTTCTCGACAACTTATTTACGGCTTGTTACTTGGTGTAATACTTACCTTATCTACTAATTCGTTGAGGAGATGGTTGAGGCGAAAAAACGGAGATAAATTCAACGGAAACAAACGTGAATTAAATTCACCTCGACGACCTAGTGATGTAATAAGCGAAGATATCGTAGATGGTATAGAAGGATTAATAGGGAACACGCCATTAATGAGAATCAAAAGTTTAAGTGATGCTACTGGATGCGAGATTTTGGTAAGTAATGCTTTAAAAAGATTTTTTGCAATTTATATGTATTATGTTAATTGGTATAATCAATTCATTTTTTAACGTAGGGCAAAGCCGAAGTAAGTGATTTATTCTTTATCTGATGTTTGTTCATGTCTAACAAAACAAATATTATAGAATGTTCTTCAAAAGACAAATTTTCACAATTTGACAAGTTTCTTAATCCAGGTGGTAGTCCAAAAGATCGAGTAGCTTTAAACATGATAAAGGAGGCGGAAAGAAAAAAACTTGTAAAACCAAATAAAGGATGTACCATTTTTGAAGGCACTTCTGGATCAACAGGAATATCAATCGCGATGATAGCAAGGGCAAAAGGATATAATGCATGGATTATTATGCCCGATGACCAAGCAAAAGAAAAGTATCAAATATTGGAAAAATTAGGAGCTACAGTGGAAAAGGTCAAACCTGCAAGTATCGTAGATAAAAATCAATTCGTTAATTTAGCTAAGCGCCGAGCTGAAGAATTTGGAACTAAGATAATTAATGAAGGAGAGGGTTTAATGGAAAGCAATGAAGCTACTGGATTTTTTACCGATCAATTTGAAAATTTATCTAATTACGAGGCACATTATCAAGGAACAGGACCGGAATTATTTAGGCAGACAAATGGAAAAATCGATGCCATAGTTTCCGGAGCTGGCAAGAACCCTTTTTTTTAAACTTATTTTCGTTGTCGTATTGATATTTTATTTCTAAATTAATTCATTCATTTTAGGTACTGGAGGAACCATTGCGGGAATTTCTCGTTATCTTAAACCGCTCATACCTAATCTCAAAGTGTTTCTTGTTGATCCTCCAGGTTCCGGGTTATACCATAAAGTGAAACATAATATCATGTATTCACCTTGTGAAGCCGAAGGAACTAGAAAGAGGCATCAAGTTGATACTGTAGTAGAAGGTGTTGGTTTAAATCGTATAACAAAGAATTTTAATATGTCAACCGGAATGATCGATGATGCGATTCGCGTTACGGATGAAGAGGCGGTGTCTATGGCAATGTATTTAGTTAAAGAAGAAGGTTGGTTTATATAATCTTTTTTCATAAGCATATTTTGAATTTAAGGTTTTTTTTTTTGGATCACGATAAAAATTGCATTTATGTTATAGGCCTTTTTGTTGGTAGTTCATCGGCTATTAATTGCGTTGGATGTGTAAGAGTGGCTAGGCAATTAGGACCCGGACATCGTATTGTGACCCTTCTATGTGATTCTGGACAAAGGGTAAAGTGTTATTTGTTGTATTCCACTTTCAGTTCACTTAAAAGTCCATATATATATATACTGACAAAAAAATTCCGCTATTAAAAAATTAGCATTTGACAAAATTTTGGTAAGTTTAACATTAAATTGCTTTTGATGGGGAAACCTTTTAATAGGTTAACATAAATTTTGATTTTTCCATTTATTAAGGAATGATGAATATTTAAAACAAAATAATATACATCCAAAATGTGGAGTTGGTTTAAGTTTTATAAAATAATAATAAATGAAATGAATTAAAGAATTCATTTAACCAGTTATTTACTAATTTGATAATTGCAAATGCCCAAAGAAAAAATTTTTATATAAATAATCAATACGTGATATCCCATTCTTGAACTTATTCTCCATGATCTATTTAAACACATAATCCCCAAACGTTAACAATAACGTGCATACTGTTGGTATCATATCTATAAGTTGTACTTCCTAAGGATTCAAATTAAAAAAAAATTCATGTTAATATTTTCACACTTTCTCTTTTTTTCAACTTACTAAAAAGAAATTAATTAATTTACCATCATGATTGCTGTCCCAATAACAAGTTGTAGTAGCGTGTATGCCGGCTCCATTTCTTTCAAAAATTGTACAAGTAACTAAAAAATCATTTTTTAGATCTTTTTAATATCGTTAATAAAATCAATAAAATAAATGATTTCAATTTACCAATGTATTTAAAAGATTTATTTAAAGAAGCTAATCTTTTAACAGCTGTATCGACTATTGTAGCATTCCAATTCGATATACGACTATGAAGATAAGCAGAATCTTTTAAAATGCTTTCTTCTACGACTTCTTTGATAATTCCTTTAATTTCTTCTTCATTAAAATTTTTCTTTGGATCTTTAACCTTAAAATAATACAAATGATTTTAATGAATTATAGAGAAGACACGTAAAATATAAATAATCATACTTCATCGGCTTTCGGCGTTGGAAAATCGTCCATCATCATTGTAAATTTTGGTCTCAAAAGAAAAAAACAAAAAAAAAAGGAAAAAGGAAAAGGGAGAGTTTAAATTCTAACGTCAAAAACCTTTTTCCAGTTTTTTTATATGAAAATCACTTCACATGGTATCGCAGTTAATTTAAACATTTCCACATCCGAGTACAATGAAAAAAAATGCAAATGTTCGCAGGGGTTAAAATTTTTATAATGTCTGCAGCTACACGAGTATTTCATTTGGCGTCAAGTATTATCACTATGATGTAATCATAAATATATTTTTTTTACAAAAAAAATTGACTACAGATAATGACAAAAAAAAATTGATTTTTTATTTTAAATAATGGAGATAATAAACGAATTAAAACATGCAAAGAATAGATTGGATAAGGCAGCGGAGGAGTTGAAGGCGTTTGAAGAAGGGGAAGACGGGAAATGGCTGAAAGAGTTGAGGAGAAAGTCGAGAAGACACGATCTTAGTGAAAATGAGGAGCGGGAGAAGGCTAGGATGGAGAAAAAGGAAGAGAGGTTGGAAAATAGTAAGGTGAAGTGGGAAGAGCAAGAGCAGAAGTTGCAAGATGCATTGATCGAATTTGATAAAGAAAAAGGTAATGAACAAATTGCGTAAAAAAAATATACAAAAAGTTTTTTTTCTAAATTTTATCTACTCATATAAAGTCCCAAACTGACTGCTGAGAATGTCAAGAGTATTTTGAACTCTTACATTCAGCCTCCAGATGATCCTCTTCGCCAATCTCTTGCAAACTTCCTTAATATCCCTGATGATGTATCCGACATTTCATCTCACTTAATGTTTGTGGACCGCTATGAAGAGATTAAGAATTTGATGCGAAACATGAAAAATTTGCATAACCTAATCAATAACCTCGATAATATCCCTGAACCCAAAAAACACGTAATGTTTACCACTGCTGTTGGAACAGCTGGAAAGGGAAAAACAACATTTGCTCGGCGGGCGTATTACGAAAAGGACATTTACTTGAATGTGATTGGAGAGGGTCTTTCTAATGTGGTGCAAGAATGCCTTTACGCTGGTCGGAATTTCCGAATCGATTGTAGTAGTTTTGAAGGTGAAGAACTTAAAATTGATATGGAATCTGAAAAGCCTTTCGGGAAAAGGCTATTATATGAAGCTCTTAAATATCATCTCCGAGGGTAATATTTGCACATTCAATTTTGATGGTTGCATCTGCGTTATCTTAATTTGACTGCTCTCTCTTTGCAGAAAGACAATTGATGAATTCTTCAAGATTCTAGGAGAATTTTCTATTGATCTTGTTGACATTCTTAAATTAATTCTGGAATATCATCCATGCAAACAAGATTGGAACCCTCTTTTCATTATCAATATTGATGAAACTAACGTATTATTTGAACATGGAAAAGCTTCCTGGCTTAAAAGACTTCTTTATTCTATCTCGAACGCTATCTGTAAGGGATATTTCATTTTCGTCATCTTGACTGGGACCCATGCGAGCAACCTATTTGAACTGGTAAAGTCATCTGGTGCCAAAATCTATGACATAGCCTTGCCATTGCTCAAGCCTGAGCATGCTCAGGAGGTTATACTTGAACTAGCTAATCGGGGGCTGGTAAGTTACATTCATTGACATATGTTGGTAGGTTGACCTTAGTTTAACAAAACAGTCATATTTTTCAGCGGGAAGATTCAAAGGAAAGGTGAGCTCAGGTTTTACGTTGTGATTTTACAGATTCTCACCAATATTATATTGACATTTTCGTCATCGATTAGGGTTACGAAGCTCTCTCCATATCTTGAAGTTCACATCAGACTTCTTGGTGTTGTTGGCCGCTTTCTCGAGTCTATGATGTTTGAGATGGCTATTCTTGGTTGGGCTGCTCAGAATGATCAAGACGTGTTCGGCGAAAAATTTCACTACGAAGGATTCCGTTACTTCTTGAGAAATATGCAATACCAATCGGAACATTGCCGGACACTTCTTTTGCAAACACAAAAACATATTGACAAGAAATACCACCGTTACTTCAAGCAATTCGAGGAAGATGAAAATCGCGACCTTGTTCCTGAGCTGGTGGCATATACTTTGTTTGAATGGCCTGTGGACCGTACAACCACACTGGGAAAGAGGAAACGATCAGTTGAGGTAAAGATTTTTAAGAATTTTGTGCTTGGTCTCAAATCATCGATTTTATTTTGTGCTTCAATTATAGGAATTGGAGAAGAAGGACATGCTGTTCTTAGATGGAGACAGCAAAATAAAACTGCCATTTATCACACTCGCTCATCTCTATGGTCTTCTGAACCCTAATCACATTGCAAAAGTCCGGCTCCTCGATTCCTTGGATAGCGCACTCTCATGGGGACAAGCAGAGTATCTGACTCTCTCTGTGATCGTGTTTAAACTTTGGGCGATCCACAGAAGATTAGTTACTGAAGGAGAAATTAAGGAAAATGACGAAGGCTACTGTCAGCTTTCTGAACTTGTACCGCTACGGGAGAACCAGTCAGACATCCGTATCAGGTTTCCACCTTGGTTTGTAATTCGTAAGACTGAGCACCGAGTCAATAAGGAAAGTTGGCAAAGTTTTTATCTAAACGCTCGTTCGCAGTCAACAAATGAGGTGTTATATTGCATGGCTTTTCTCAATTGCAATGGGGCGCAATTCCCAGACACATTTCTGACCACCAAGCCACCGATTTTTGTTCAAGAAAAGTCAAGCCAAACCAGCAACAAGAATGCTGTTGAAGGAAAATCAGCATTAATGTTCCCATCATACCTTTTGAAAACTGAGCGCGATAAGTGTCCTGACGAGAGAGAATATATTTTCATCATTTCTACAGATTACAAGGAGCGTGGTGATGTTGGCCTGGGCCCTAAGAATAACGAGGTTTTGATAACTCGCGAGAATAGAAAAGCGATGTTTGGGGAGCTGCTGACACTTAGAAAACTGTATTGTCTGGAAAGCTTGTGAAACTAGCTCAATTTGGCATCGCCCGAAATGTCTGTAGTAATTGTATACTCCACTATTCATCAATAGGACCTATTATCTACAATGTATCAAAAAAGTGCTTTGTAATTTGTTTGTCAAAGTTTTAATTCTTTGTTCAGTTGTAGCTCCGTATATTCATTCTGTTGTGTGATAAGTTGGACTAATTGAAACAAAACTATGTATGGTAAATAGTAAAATTATTAATTTTATTTTAAAATTGAATTTTTCTCAACATTTTCGGCAACATTCCAAATCATTATCCCTTTAATTTAATAGATTGCTTTTTTTTTTAAAAAAAAAAAGTTTCATTTCCACTTCGAAAATAATAAAATCTATTCAGAACCACTACTTCAATAGAAAAAAAATTTTTTTTCTTCTTTATTATTTCAAAAAAAAGAGGTATTGTTTTGTTCTTTAAGTTATCGTGTACTCATATAAACTTGTAACATTACTCAAACGTAATAAAGCACAAGTTATCGAACTTTAAGGTTTCAGATTTTTAATGATAAAATGCCTCCTATTTCAAAACGAGCCACACTTGTAAAAAGCTCATGAAATACAAGCTCAAAAACTAGATGCAAAAAAAATGAAGATATATTAAAGAAACAGCATACTCTTTATGCAACAATTGACCAATTATACAATATTGTCCGACTTATGCTTTTTTTTTGTTCTTTTTTCTAATTAATTGTAGTTGATGATCTAAAGGAAGAGATGTTTGAGGATAAAGAGTTATATAAGGATTCGGGTTTAATCCACAATGACATTTTATCCCTTTTAACATTAAAATTAACTAATATTTTATATAGATCTAAATCATGCTTTCCAAATCGATTTCAAGGATCATGCCAATTATATGTCATTTTTAGAGAATCGGTTAAACAATGTTTCCAATCCTTCAAAATACAATTATTTAGCTGTTGTTCAGCCATCAGGATATGGTAAAACAAGATTCATATGTGAGCTTGCAAAATCACATCCTTTAATATATATATGTTTTCGTGACAAAGGTTCAACTGGATATCCATTAGAAACACCAATGAGTGATATTACTAAAAGAAATTAAAGAAGCAGCAAATATTGATATTGCAGAAGAAGTGGTAAGGATATGGCTAAAGTCAATGATATTAATATTTTATCAAATGAAGCTGAAAAACAAGTCTTCATAATTATTGACAAATATCATAAGATGATCTATTTTTTTATAATGTTATTAGATTATAATTAATATATTATCTATTTTTTTTTTTTTTTTTTTTTTTTGAAGATAATAGAAATTGTCAAATACTTTCTGAAAAAAAGTCCATTTAACAAAAAAGACTTTAAAATCTAATTGAAATGCTCAAAATTTTGAAAACATTGATACCAAAAAATAGCAATTTTAATCTTCTGCCTTTCTTAATATGATTTTTATTATTATTGATTAAAAAATCACATAATTAAATCATTTTGTTTCTACATATATATAATCTATATTAAGTTTTAAGTTTATTAAAAACTTTTTGTATTTTTTTTTAAGAATTAATGCTTTTTTATTAATATTAATATCTTTAGAAACCAAATGGTAAATAATATACAGTTAACACTTTCTACAACGAATTTTGATATAACGAATTTTACAATACAACGGATTTTCACTATCGGACAGATTTTTAAATATAAAAAAACCCTTACTATACTGAATTTAGTAATTAAAAATTCGTATTACGTTTAATGAATTAAAGTCAGAAAAATTTATATATAAAATGACTCTCTTTATAACGAATTTTCTCTATAACGAATTTTTTTTTTG